CTCTCCTAGAAATAAATAAAAAACATTAAAAAATTTAAAAAAAAAAAAAAAGAAAAAAATGGATCCAGAGGAAAATAAAATTCTAAGAAGGCCAATGGACCTGAATTCATTTATAATCCCTAACACAGGTAAAATTATAGTATTTTAGATATGCAAGGACTTTTAATCCCCTCACTCTACGAATAACGAAAGTTGAGGACATACGAGGTATCAACAACCATGCTTCCAAGAAGCGGCAGAACCAAGACTTGGGGCAAGTGGCTTGAACATCACCTGGGAGCCTGTTAGAAAGGCTGAATTTCTGGGCCCACCCCAAAACTACTGAATCAGAATCTGCATTTTCACAAGATCCCCGAGAGGCTGATTACAGGCACAGTCAAATTTGAGAAGCTCAGGTCCAGAAAAGGAGCCCAGAAGAAAGCAAATCTTCCATTTTAGGAGATACTGTCAAACTTCTAATTTACACTCCGCCAATAACAGTCAAAGAGTTGCTTTGCAAGACCACCAACAGTTAAAGTTTATGCGTTTAACTTTCTGGCCACTCTGGCAGACAGAAAAGACATGGTGTTTTTGGTTTTCATTTCACGGCTTTTTAAAGAGGTTATCTTTTCACATGCTAATTATTTTCTTCCTCTCTGAGAAATCGCTCTTCAAATCTTCCAACGTTGCTTTTTCTTATTTTAGACCCACCATCAATTAAATCCAGCATTTTTGTCTATCCATTTTAAATTCACACTCACCCTGTTAGGTGGTGAGTAGCATGTAAAATACATAAATGCTGAAGAACTACATTAAGTCTAAAACTATCTGCAGTCTAAATTCTTAGGAATCTCTTCTTTTAATATCCATCGTTCGAAGTCTCAAATGGATAATTTCTTTAAATGGAAATGTAAATCCGACTTAAAGGCAGGGAAATAAAGTTTTAAAAAGAATAACCTTTTGTAGATATTGAAGTCATACTAACACAGGAATCCGGAATCTTCATTTTAAGGTAAAATTCAGCAAATTTAAAACAAAGCTCTCCAGGGGCGCCTGGGTGGCTCAGTCGGTTAAGCGTCCGACTTCGGCTCAGGTCATGATCTCACGGATGGCGGGTTCGAGCCCCGCGTCGGGATCTGTGCTGACAGCTCAGAGCCTGGAGCCTGTCTTCGGATTCTGTGTCTCCCTCTCTCTCTCTGACCCTCCCCTGCTCACGCTGTCTCTGTCTTTCTCTCTCTCTCCCCCTCTCAAAAATTAAAAAAAAAAAAAAAAACTTTAAAAGATAATTTAAAAAAATAAAAATAAAGCTCTCCAGATGATATACCAAGCGAACTAAACACAATCTTCTTGATTACATTTTTATAGGGAGTAGTTACAAATTAGGCTTAATATTAATAACCTTTTAAATCTACTCTACCGAAATGCTTGGCTCTGAATATAACGTACTCCTATTGCCCAAAATCATTTCAGGGGGAAAAAAAAAATGGATCCAAAAAGAAACACGGATTCAAACTACCTGCTCTTTCATTACGGCAGCTGTTTTAACCGAGGAAACTGAAAGAGTTGAAGGTCTCCCTCCCGCAAGCTTGAGAAAAAACAAACGAGCAGCAGCTGCCTCCTCAGCTCAACAGCTAACACTCCCCAGCTGAATCGAGACGCAAAATGGAAAACACCCTGGCTCCCCGGAAATTTTCAAAAAACGACTTTTCACGTACACTTCAGGTCTCAAAAAAAAAAAAAAAAAAGCATATGCCCGTAACACCTACCACATTCTGGAAGCGGCGCCGTTTCCAGAGCCATCACCTTCCCCAGGGGGCTGGCGCGTCAGTGCCACCTGGGAGTGCGCGGAGGCTCCCCGGCCGCGGAGTAGCGCCGGTGGCTGAGACTCTCGAAAGTTCCGCCCCAGGCCGGTCCGGGCCCTGTCGACCGGGGAGGTCTCGCACCTCCTCTACTCCCGAGCTCCCGCCACTTGGGGTCCGGGTGACGCCTCGGGAGAGGCGTCCGCTCTTGCGGAGAAGGCAGCGCTTACCTTGGCGGTCCTCAGGCTGCACCAGGCGGTTGGTGATGGTGTCGCACAGGGCCATGATATCATCGTTGTCCAGCAGGCCGAGCAGGTTACGGCAGCCCTCCATCTCCGAGTAGCTGAGCCGCGACATCTCGGCCCCCAAAACGGGGGACGAGGGGACGACCCAGCAACGTCGTCCCTTCAGGCCCACCAGGCCGGCGCCTAGGCAACACACACCGGAAGTGCCTTGCCTGTCGTTCGCCGCCGAAGGGCCTGGGGTATTCCAACCCCCCGGGCGGAAGTGATTGCCGACAAGGTCAGCCAGGAACTGTGGTGTTCCGACTTGTCGTTCCGGGCTAGACACAGGACGGAGGGGACTTCAACGGATCTCACTTTAGGGAAGTGCCGCGTCTGCGCGGAGAACAGCGATCTTCCACGAGGGATCTGGTTGCGGAAAGTGAAGCCCTGAACTCTTCAGGAGCCCATCCTCCAAAAAGGCGGCTGGGAGGGCTGCGCAGGTGCAGGTGCGTGGAAAGCGAGCGGCGGTCGCAGCGCACGGCGAGCTCCCGTGATGCCGCGGGGCCGGCCAATGGAGGAGCCTGCGCCCCGCCCGTGGGCCTGGCCCCCGGGAGCGCTTGAACGTCCTCTGCGGCCCATTCTGAGTAGGGTGCACCTGCAGTTGATGTTCTTACATAGTACAGTGGTGAAATAATTTGCCCTTGTTTCACATTATACTGTGAATAGTTCAAATCACCTATCCTGTGTCAAGCCTTCTTAATTCCCTAACAGTCTGCGACTGGCGCTAGCTTCCATTCCCCTCCTCGCCGGCTTGCTTTTAGGCGATGCTGTATCGCCAGCAGTTGAAGGTTAGGGAGTCTGGAAGTCAGGTTACCAGGGTTTTGCTCCGCCATTCACTACCTGTGACCTTGGACGCGCTTCTTAGCCTTTTCGTCCCTCAGTTTCCTATCTCGAAATGGACCTAGTAGAGTTAGCTACCTCGTAGGGCTGTGGGCGCGGGGTGAGGACGGTGCCTGGCACCTAGAAGTAACTCAGTACACGGTAGCAGTTAGTATTACTGTTAGTTTGGCAGCAACTCGCATTCACCCGAGGGAAACAGGTATGTTCCGCTCGACCGAGCCCGAAGAGGAATCAGACCTAAACACATTGTCACTCGCCTCTGTCTCCTTCCATATTTTAGCATGTTGTAGATTTGTTAACATTTCATTAAGGTATTGCCATTTAGTAGATAAAATATACATATCTTCAGATCTAGGTGAGCAAATTTAATGTTTTAAAAAATATCACGGCTGGGGCACCTGGGTGGCTCAGTCGGTTGCGCGTCCGACTTCGGCTCAGGTCGTGATCTCACGGTTTGTGGGTTCGAGGCCCGCGTGGGGCTCTGTGCTGACAGCTCAGAGCCTGGAGCCTGTTTCAGATTCTGTGTGTCCCTCTCTCTCTGACCCTCCCCTGCTGACGCTGTCTCTTTCTGTCTCTCAGAAATAAATTAAAAAAAAAAAACAACATTAAAAACTTTAAAAACATCACGGCTGTATATCAGTTGTAAAATATACTGTAAATGTAGTGTAGGCATTCAACGCATGGTTAATTTGCTAGTGGGTGTTATTTGGGGTATCATTTACTCAAGTTAAAAATTCTTCGTTTTTTATTAAGTATTAAGGAGTGCCTACTATGCTACTATTTGCAGAGTCAGAGAAATGACGAAGACCCTCCTTTTAAGGAAGTTTTGGAAGCGTTGCAAGAGAGGACATTCCATCGGAAAGAAATAGTAAACATATAAGAAATTATATTCTCTGCCAAGATTTGCTATGGAGAAAAATAAAGCAAAAGGAAGGGCATGGAGAGGATGTTGCTATTTTATATAGGCTGTCAAGAAAGGCCCCTCTAAGTAATACTGAAAAAAAAAAAAGCCCTTAGGGGCGCCTGGGTGGCTCAGTCGGCTAAGCGTCCGACTTCGGCCCAGGTCATGATCTCACGTTTCGTGGGTTCGGGCTCTGTGCTGACAGCTAGCTCAGAGCCTGGAGCCTGCTTCTGATTCTGTGTCTCCCTCTCTCTCTGACCCTCCCCTGCTCACACTGCCCCTCTCTCTCTCTGTCTCTGTCTCTCTCCCTCTCAGAAATAAAACATTAAAAAATTAAAAAAAGAAAAGAAAAGAAGAAAAAAAGACCTGAGGAAAGTGAGTGGACCACAGAAGAGTGTTGTGGGAAGAAACAACAGTAGAGGCTGCAAGGAAGAAGCAGAGTGCCTGGCGTGTAGGAAGGAGGCGAGAGCAGCTTCTGCAAGGAGGAGGCTGTGAGGTTAGAACTGCAGGCATGATTGACCTAGAGCAACGTTTCTCGATCAAGGCACTAGTAACATTTTGGCCAGGGTAATTCTTTGTTGTGGAAGCAGTTCTATGCATTGGAGAATGCTTACTGGCATCCCTTGCCTCTACCCATTAGATGCCAGTAGCACCTCCTCCCACTTGTGGCTACCAAAAATATCTCCAAGTTGCCAGTGTCCCCTGGAGGACAAAATCACCCCCTGCCCCCACCAGTTGAGAACCACTGACTGAGACTACCTGCCCAAAAGTACTTTGAGATAATGGCAATGTTATGTATCTGTGTGGTTCAGTACACTACCCATCGGCCACATGTGGCTATTGAGCAGTTGTAATGTGGCTAGAACAACTGAGGCATTGAATTTTCAGTTTTATTTGAATTTTAATAACCACATGTGGCTAGTGGATGCTGTATTGGATACTGCAGATCGAGAGCCTTGCAGGCCTTTGTGAAGACTTTGGCTCTTATCTTTTACCTCTCTGTCTTCATCTTGTTATTCTCCAAGTCTCTCACTGCACGCTAGTCACAGTGGCCCCCTTGCTATTTGTTCCTTAAACTTGCTGTATAGGTCCTTGCCTCAGAGCCTTTGCTTTTGCTGGTCTGCATGGCAGATTTTCCCCTCAGATACCTGAATGGCTTTCTTTCTCGTACTTCATTCAGTTCCCTGCTCAAAAATTACCTTGCCAAAAAATAAGATGAAAACAGAGAGGGAGGCAAACCATAAGAGACTCTTAAATACAGAGAACAAAGTAAGGGTTCCTGGAGGGGTGTTTGGGGGGTGGGGGTTGCTAAATGGGTGATGGGTATTAATAGGGCACTTGTTGGGATGAGCATTGGGTGTTCTATAAAATTTAAACATTAAAAAAATGATTTAAAATAAAAAATAAAAATAAATAGCGACAATAAAAAAATCAGTTTATCAAATAGGCCTTCCTTTATCATCCTGTTTAAAATCAACAATGCCATGCTTACTTCTAGTTTCCCTATTCACTTAAGTTTTCTCTATAGTACTTATTATAACATACTATATGTTTATTGCCTTCCAGTAGAATGTGAGTTCTGTGAGCCGGGGATTTTAATTATTTTTTTAATTGCCTATTACAGAACTTGGCACATAGTAGGTATGCAATAAATATTTGCTGAATGAATAAATGAGTTGTAAAGCCACTGAAGAATTTTAAACTGACGAATAGCATGATCTGACTTGCTTCAACAGGATCTTTTCGGCTATTGGTGTGAAGAACAGACTGAAGAAAGGCAAGGGTAGAGGCAGGGAACCCAATTAGGAGACAGTAGTCCAGGTGAGAGATGCTGGTGGCATGAGGTAGAGTGGAAAACATGATAGAGTCCCAGATAACTGCCAAGATTTGGTTTGGGTAATGAGCTGCCATTTGCTGAGAGGAGGAAGTCTGGGAGAAGTTTTTAATGGAGAAATAAGGAGTTATCAAGAGAGATCAGGCTTTCTGGAGAAAGTGGTGATGCCTAAGAAGATTATAAAGATTGAGAGATGGGACAGAAAAAGGGTGAAGAATTACAGGTAAAGGGAATAGTAGTGAAAAATACATGCATAAAACAGCATGGCTGTTTTTGGTGATAGCCAAAGCCAGTACAAGAACCATGACCTGAAGAGAAATTTAGTAAAGCTGTTATTAAGGGCTCAACACAGGGCCCTTCACATACTTAATTCTTACAACCTTGCAATAGCTTTCCTCTTTTAACATGGGGAAGTCTGAGCCCAGCGGGACACATTTAATTGCTTAAGGCTCCACAACCATAAAACTATCCTGTTGAAATCTGAATATAGTTGGTCCCCACATTCTTTGAGCTGCTTCCATTAAATCACATTCTGGTAGTTTTCACTTACTGAACACTTTTCAGAAAAAATAAATAAAAAGGTTTTCTAGATTAGAGTGGCTTGGGGTGTGAGATCTTGGTACTACAATCTCTGTTTCACCCAGCAGTAGTTACTTAAGTACCTATTAATAGGGGACTTCTTTAAATGTCCTGTAAATCAAGAGTTTCTAAGAATGCTCTATGAATTTAAGGGGAAATAGTTTACATCCTGGGGAAATATGAAGCAGCTTGATGCTTTAGATCTGTGGTTTTTTAACCTTTGAATTACCTAGAGGACTTGTTAAATGCCAGACTGGTCCCTCACCTGACCAAAATTTCACATTTCTAACAAGTTCTTAGGTGATGCTGATTTTACTGCTCCCTGGACCAAACTGTTAAGAATCACTACTAGTAGAAGAAAATGAAACATCAGCCTCCTACCCCTACCAGACTTTATACCAGATTTCAGACTCTGAAATCACTGACCCTGAGGCAAGTCTGATCCTCTATTTGGATATATTAGATCCACCCATATTTGTAGAGAAACTGCATGGCATTATGGTTTTAGGAGGACACCTCTGATTTTTCAATTCCGTCTTGTGACTTCAGTCAAGTTATTTAAGATTTCTGAGGTTTGGTTTTTAAAATGCAGAGTTCCTATCTATGAGTTATTTTAACAACTAGGGGTAATGTATATAATATAGGTAGTATGTAGGAATTTAGTAAAACAGAAGACATTTTTTTTCCATTGTGTAGCACTCATAAGTTAAGGCATGGACTTCACATTTTCAGTTTTTACTCCATCTAATATTGGATTGCCTCCATCTGACATCTTGATACATAGCCAAAACTTCTTTTATTAGTTCACTGTTGAAGTTGGTATGGAATTTATATTATGCACTGAAAAGCCACCTCATTTGTTTATCATGGACGCATACTTAGTTACATATGATTGCTTCCCAAAATTCAAGTCTCAGAAAAGAAAAATTAGATAACCCCAGTATTTTTATCTAAATACTTCCTCAATACATGACCATAAAGCATAGACTGAAAATTCTAGGTCTCAGGTCTAGAGTGCTTCCATAGCTTTGTCAGTATTTTTCGAGGCATGTTTGTAGTATGTGCAAATCACTATATTTGACACTGTCCTTTCATTGCATTGGTATCTCATTGCATCAACCAGGTGCTTTTTCTACTTCAGCCCTCATTCTTTTCCAATTGCAAGTTAAAGCAAGTATAGGGGGGGTTTCTTTTGTTAGTCAACCAGAAAAGTAGACCTTCCTGCTCACGGACCTCATTTTTAGATCCAGATTTAGTTTACATGTTTTCCCACTGAAATGCTTTTTAGTAAGTAATTTTCATTCATATTTATGTCTTATTTCAAAGTGACTTCCCAGTGTTTGTTTTTTTGTTGTGAGTTCCACCAGAGGCTCTTCATCTTTGAAGATTTACCAACATAGATAAATCCATACACTGTCTTTCATTTGAAGAGGTTCTGATAATTTGTCCACCTACTAAGTTGGCAAAGGGTACCTGAAATAACTTGAGGAACCAGCATTCTATCAACTTGTAATTCCTGCATTTGGATGTTAGTTAATGTCTAAAAATGTTTTATGTAAACTTTTATTAGACATTTCTATTTTAAAATGTTTTTTAGTTAATCATCTGAATATGGTAATATTAACTGATATAACTTACTCTCTTAGGAGACCTAATAGAAATTTCTTATTGAATATATACTTTAAGCCTAATTCCTTTTGAAGCAATGTGCTACATAAAACTGAACACTTCATTACCAACAAGGACAATGTTTTATTGAACAAGTCTATGTACAGTACAAAAAATTTCTTGAAATGAGACGCTATTGTTGAATTATTGCAGTTCAATGGCTCAGTTTTAATTTGTACTCTTATAAAATGCAAAGTAAAATAATTTAATGTTCAACAAGGAAGCACAAATTTCCTTTCTTGCTGAATCTGTAATATCTTTCACATATTAACAATTCCAAAATGCATATGCAGCATTTAGGCATTCTGAAAAGGTGTTTTACAGTACCAAATAAATTAAAAGATAAACACTATCATCCCTTTTAGGTTTTTCATCCATACAACAGTTTAAACCAAACATGGGAATACAGCTGAACTTTCAAGTGTGATTTGAAAAGAATCACAAGTTCAGTGTTATAAGTTATCTACTCATATAATCGGTGGTTTAAAAAAATGAATATGGCTAGAGCCCAAAGTACCAGTGTCCTTGTCCACGGAGATCCCTCTTTTCTGTAATATCTGAGCAGCAAAAATTCAGATTTGCTATTTTCTTGACCTTACTAAAACAGCAGAAAGTTAATATTTAATGTTTTGAAGGAAATTTTTATTAAAAAAAAAAGTGAAACTTGGTCCATGTAAGATAAACACATCCTCAAAACTGAAGGAGCAGAAAAGTAAAACAGAAGAATCTGAGGAATAAGAAAGCTTCCTTTTCTTCTGAATCCCAAATTAGAACTGTTGGAAGTTTATGCACCCCACAAAAGCAAAATGATGTAAGTTTATGCTTAATGAGACATACATGATGAAATGTACACATTTTTTCAATAGCAGTTAATTGAGGAGTATATAAAGAGGTTTAGAACAGCATAGCCAAATAGATTTTTATAAAACATTCCTTGATTTAATTATTTATAGGCCAATTTGATCTCAGTGTTTCAGAAACAGTTTTCCCCTAGCAACACAAAAGTAGAAATAAAACCTCAAAGACAAAATTAACAAGTGGAATATGTTTAAAACCGCTTGGTATGAACTGCAGAATGAATGAAAATAACAATTTTCAGACATGGATTTATGTCAATAGTTAACAACGTATAAAAATGAGTTAAAAGATGTGATAAAATGCTAAATTGTAATTTTAAACTTCTGGAAAATATACAAAGCAGAAATTATATTTCAAAAAAACTTCATTGTCCAAATGAACTAGTGTCCACACAGACTTTTTATTACAAGATGTACTTTATACTGAACTGAAATAGAACTCAAGTATATTTTTATCTTCAGGAAATATGGAAAACAATTTTTTTTTTAGTTGACTTCTTAAAAATCTGATTGAGTTGCATTTACTTATCTGTTATTTAAATGTAAATCCCACAGCCTAATGTAGGCTACACAACAAAACAAAAACCTAAATTTGACTGCAATGGACTTGTGACTCTCAATTGCATAGTAGTGAGTGAATAAATAAACTAATAAAATTGGAAAAATTTTTTAGATTCTTCATGGCCTGGAAATCCCAACTTGTTAAAGTCTGGGTGCTACCTTGAAGAAATGTCCCCTTCATTAGTGACTTCATTAAGGAAGCTATACTACCAAGGTCTGATAAGATTATCTGCTTTGAACAAAAATGTATCTGAATAACTGGAATATTTGGTTGATGATGGTACATTAGTAGCTCCATTTTTTTTTTTTTTTTAAGAATTTGCCTTTGTATCTTTGTTCATTTTATCCCTGCTATAGATTAACAAACTACTAGGTTAAAGAAGATCATGAAACCTTCTCTTTTAGAGAATGTACAAGTGGAACCTATCTGAGAGGGTACTTAAAAAAAACATTTTGTGTTTTAACAATTCATTGACTAGTAAGTTAAAATCTTCCTTAGGAAAATTACTGGTCATCAAGGAAAATAAAAGCATCAATATATCTTAACTGTGTTCTTGCTGTGCAAATTTTTGTGTAAATATTTCCTTTTATATATAAAAATTACTATTCAGACCAAATTCATCACTAATAAATAAGAAAGCATGAGTAGTATGGCTTATTTTAGAATTAACTCTCCTAACTGAACAAAACCAATGAATTCTTGACCTGATTTTAGCCGACATATTTTTTTACAGCCATTTATTTTTATAGGACTGTACTTAGATAACTCACATTAATGTCTAAAAGGACCTTACTATGAATCATCAAGCAATGTCCTAACACTACTCTATATACAAATAAGAAATATCCCAGTGTGCTTATACCATTATTCACATTGAGTTATTTGCAATTCAGTGTTTTCCTTCAATTAGATAGCCTTTATTGGTCTTAGATTCCTCCCATCCCTCCTCAAAGTTACTGATGGTTCTTTTCCTATTTAAGATTGACACTGCTGCCTTTAAATACAACTCATTGGTATTACCAAAATGGAAAGTGGAGCTTATTACCAAAGCGTTTTGTTTTCTTTTGATTTTTAATTTTCAGTGCTGGAATCCCATTCATTGAACTCTGTTCCATCTAATCAATCATCTAGAAACAAGTTACAATCTTTTATGGATAGCATGGTGATAAATCAAATTTTATTTTCATGTATCAGTTTCTAAATTATAATAAACCAAATAGCAATAGGTCTTTAAACCGTGTTTGATGAGAAGGGGAGGACATCATCTGATTATGTATGACAAGAAAACAAATTTCTTTTGTAGAATATTTTAAGTTGTTTATTGTAAACCACCCACCCTAACCCCCCCTTTTTTAATAACTGGTTAACTTTTCCCTTTCTGTAAGGCCATAGCTGGTTTTCCTTTCTGACTAGTTGCCCGAACATATTTCTCACATAGGTAAAACTGAACATGCTGCATTCATAGTCATCAACTTTTTTAAAAATGTGGTTTCTGGATAACTGGTACTTTGGGAGTTTTGTAATAACCCTTTTGGAGTCTAAACCAGCACATCTCCTCTCTGAGTTCATTCTAGAAAATGTGCTTTGTCTTTATCTTTAGTAAATCCAAGACCGCTTGAAAATTAAGGCCATCAGGAAAATAGCAAACTGATGATTCAATTTCTTGCAGTGCTTTTTTCACACTACTGCTTGATCGACAGATCTTTCTGAAACATTTTTATCAGGCACCTGTAAAACAGAACATGTCTGTTAATTCAAATTTTATAGTTCAACTGGAATTCTAAGTTAGACTCCTGTTTTAGCCCTTTACTCATTCGATAAATATTGATATTAGTAGAAAAGCAAACTCTTCTTTTGCTCATTTTTTTCAATTATTTTCTGGTTCTTTTTCACCTTTCTGTAATAGAAGCTCAGCTTCACTTGATTTATACTCTGGCATGCAGATGAAAAACATTTCCATCATAATTACTTTATTTCTAAAATTTTTATTACACGAAATGTGCAATGAAGAAAATGTCTTGGACACAGTGAAGAGTCTGATCAAAGAGCATGAGAAACTGTGTACAAGTTCTGGCTTCCACAAGTTCATAGGCTGTACCTATGCAAATTACTTAACTTGTGAATTTCAGTTGCCTGATCTATAAAACAGGAATAGTAATATCATCCCATAGTGGTTGTATGTATTGAGAGAAATAACGTATGGTGTGGTGCTTTATTATCTGTGCTATACAAATACTAACTTTCTTAACCTCATAAAGATCTATGGCATTTTCTATTTTTACAGATAACATCTACTGAGAAAATAGAAGACTTACTTTCATCATCTGAATCAAATCCAAAGAGTGTCTGACATTTCTTTTGTGCAAGGTGAGCCTCAAGTGCTTCTGCATTACAGTAGGTGGTCAGGCATTTGCCACATCTTAATCTTTTCATGGATTTTTTACAAACGTTATCTTGATCAGAACAGGCATCTACTCTATCAGTCAGAAATTTTCTGCGTTTTGGCATACTAAGGTACCGTTCATCAAGGTAACTGGGAGGCAGTGGTCTCACATACGGCTTTGTTAAAATTAAGCCATATGAAGTATGTTCACTTGTCAGATTTGGTTTGGAAGGTGCCTGAGATACTGGCAGGGTATTATGTTCTTGTGGTACAACACTGGGCAAAACGGAACCATTTTCTGTCCTGATTCTGTTTGTATCCGTTTTCAAAGCAGGCTCTGACGAAACTAAAGGTGTCTGCTCTATTCCACTGTGTCCATTGACTAAATCACTAATACTACAATTGTTTTCAGAATTTGGCTCTATGTCAGGCATCTTTTGGTCTATCAAGCTTATATCAGAGACAGTGTCGTCAGAATGTTCATTTCCATTCTGAACTAAACCATCTGTTTTCTTCTCCATACTTTCTGTACACGTCTTTGGTTCTGTGGAATCTTTCCTTGATTTGCTAGTAGAAACTGGCAGAGTGAGAGTTTGTTTCTCATTACTAGATGAGTCTTTTTCCTGATGATTAGGATTTGAGTCTGTAAGAACATCCCAAAGAATTGTCTCACTTGGTTGTGCAGAGGATTCTGGTGTTTTACTCAAATAGTGCTGAGCTTCATGTTCATAGAGCAGAGGAAGATCTTCAAAAAGCTCATGACATTCTGGAAAACTACACTGAGCTTGAAATATCCTGTGACTTTTTGTATGCTGAGCAAGCTGGATTGGCAACTTAAATGACTCGTTGCAATTAAAATGCAAACAAAAGTACACATTTGGGTAGCTGTGTCTATTAAGGTGATCTATAAAATGTTGAGAATCTTCAAATTGCCTTTGACAGAATTTGCATTTTCCTTTGCTCCACTTCATTACCGTTTGCCGCACATTTAAATCAGTTGGATGTACAGTCCTTGCATGTTTATTTAGGAATCCAATTCTTTTAAATATCCTGACACAACCAAGAGCAGGGCACTTAAAGTTTCCTTCTTGATCTGTAGCATATATCTCTTTTGGATGACACACAGTTCCATTGATTTTATGAAGTACTGAAGTTTCTTGATTCAGGTCATAATCGTCTTCTTCATAGTCACCCTCTTCATCCTCTTCCTCCTCGTAGTCATCCTCACACACAGGCAAAGGTTCTGAGACATTATTTAAAGAAGTATCAGGACTCCCATTTTCCATCATGTTTTCAATTACATCTTCTGATACACTGATGGGAATTTCAAGGAATTCAGCCACATGTGCAGGGATGACTTCTTTGCTTCCATCACTGGAAGCAGTAATTGTCTCTGCTTCCAAATCCTTATTATCAGAATTCCCATTCTCAAATGAAATGAAAGCATCGGAACAATTTATTTCTTCCAAAGCGGGGATTTCCTGGTCCTCCTGTTGAGCCGCTGCAATTTGCTGTCTTTGTATTTTCTTAACATGATTCTTTAAATGCTTCTGCATAAGTCCTCTGTTTCTAAATTTTCTACCACATATCACACACGAAAAACTGCCCTTTTTCTGATGAGCCTGGGCATGCCTTACAATGTGACCGCCTAGAAATTCCTTGTTACATAACATACACCGATGCCTTGGGACATTGTGGTCTACTTTGGAAACATTAAGAGTCATAAGATTTTTCTTTGTATTAATGTGACCCTTAGGTTGCACTCTAGATATATCATCAGGATCAGGCTCTCCAGTGTTCTGATCTCTAAGAGAGTCAAGCCCTTCATCTAAACCTTGCTGTTCCACTGCCTTTTTTAGATTACCTGTAGAATTTTCCAGTGTACTTTCATTTAGAAATTTAACTGCTGATTTATCACTCAATAATGCTACACAGTTTTTCTTAATCATTACAAAGTTCCAGAATTCAGGATCAAAAAACAATCCCTTTTTCAAAATTGGAAGTAATTCGAAACGAACACGATTTTGAACACTACTTGTGCCTTCGTTATATTCCTCATCTGGACGTTTGTAAAGCTCTTCAACAGTACGATAGGCTTCTAGGGAGCGCTCAAGAAAAAATATCGAGAGTGCACAAATCCTGAGGATCTCCAAATCATTTGGCAAAAAATGTGCAATTGTTTTATATATTAAACATTTAGTTTGGGGATCATCATGAAGATCTAGTTGTAGAGCACAACCACATATTTCGACACAAATTTGTAAGCCGTCTTCTTCAACCTGTAAGAGGAAAATATTACTAAAATGCCTTTTGTAAAAAACATTTTTACAGTGTTTTATCTTTTTAAAATACAATTCTGAAATGAGGCTGAATAAACACAGTATTCCAAATGTGCAGTTTTCCTCACCAGGTAGCCTTGATTTAATTCTTCTTTAATACAGAAGTAAATCTTTCTTTAATTTCACAATAATCTAGAGGAGACTTCCAATTTAGCTTCCAACTTAATTAATTTTTAAGTTTGACAAACCCTACTAACCAGAAAACAAAATGCTTCAGAACCTTATGGTGATTAAGGTTTCTTACAAATCTAGCCCTCCATTTATTTTAGGTATCAATCTTACATTCTGAGGCAGAAGGATTAAATTAAATAATGTTTAAAGTAAATGTTTAAACCATTTATCAATGTTGATGTTTACAAAGAGCTAGATTTAAAAAAATGCTTGCAGACATTCATAAATCTGTACTAAAAATATTACTTATCTTATTAAGAAATATTATTTATCCAAATAAGAAGAAAAGTGTGGCCCACATGACCAGGACAATTACAGTCTTTCCAAATCTAATAAAAATCAGAATAATGAATCTACTTGGAAGTTATCTGAAAATTATTTAAACTTGAAAACTTTTACTGATGACTCAAAGGTAACTGCATTTGGGAATTTGTTGTGTGTCCACCTTAACTCAAATTATAAACGATGCCTCTGGTGATTTGGAATGATCTAAATGCTTGTTTGAATAGAAAAAGATACAATAATAACATGCCTTTAAGATTGTGTGTGTGTGTGTACGTACGTACGCACTGCCTGCATATGCTACATATAGATGACAGGGAGGAATACTACCTTGCCAGCATCATGTCTTAGTACTTTATGTGCTGTGTAGCCCTGCTTGACTACTTACACTTCCACAAGCAGACCTTAACTTTGCATATCATAATACCACGTTATCTACGTAGTAAATTTTGACCCATTTCCTATTCATTCTTTGAAGAGTCAGTTTTACTCTGAAAGTTTTTCTCCCCATTCATTCTGGCCTCAGCCCCAGGGTAGAGTTAAACATTCCCTATTCTTTCCACTGAGAATAGTTTATACTTACTTATGAAAAGTACATACATACTGTTTTATAACTGTATATGTCCCTGCCCCCTGACGTGAATTCTTAAATCACAGGGAGAGTATCTCAGTTTTTTGTATCCTCTGTTGTTAACATAGAAGTTGGCATAATATATTGACCTTTGAATAAATGTTTGCAAATAAAAATGGAATCAGATCTATTCTGACTTAGCTTTCCCCTTAAATCCATCATTTCAGCCTGGAATCCTTTACTGAATTCAAATTTTTTATTTCTTCTTATCTGTTACAATCAGGGATTTCTATCTAGATTTTCCAGATATGGTAAATTCAAAATTCACTGCTTCAAAAGAAAATTCTTTCTCTCTCTCCCAAGTTCTACCTATATCCACTGTCTTAACTCCTGAAATTATCATGTATCCAGCTGCCTAAGTTTAAAACTTTTAAGACCATATGGCACCCGAGTGGCTTAGTCTTGAGTGTCTGACTTCAGCTCAGGTCATGATCTCACGTTCGTGAGTTCGAGCCCTGTCTTACCCCACAGCAGTCTTGCTGCTGTCAGGACAAAGCCTGCTTCCTCTGTCCCCCACTCTCTCTCTGTCCCTCCCCAGTTTGCGCCTGCTCACTCTCTCAAAAATAAACATAAAAATAATAAAAATTTGAGAAAAATTTTCAAGATCATCACATAGGCAACAGGATACTTCCTTACTTGGAATCCTTCAATAATCCCAGTACATTTATAGACTTAAGGTCCAACTTTCAGTGTAACATGCAAGTCCCTTAAGGATTTCCAACAACCACCACCCACCCGCCCTGTGACGTCAGGCAGTCTCTGACTAGTTTCATCTCCCACACACTTCCTCACGTTTTTCTCCTACCATATTAATGTTGATGGACAGCTGTGAGAAAAACAAGTGATACAATGAGGCAAAAGTGCTTTGTGAACTACAAAATCCTTTACATGTTAGTATTATCCTTCTCTATCGTTTAAAATCCAGCTTAAAGCGTCCTCCTCTGTGAAGCTTTTTCACATATGCCATTTGTAAGGTCTCATTCTCCTGAATTCACACAGCACTGTTTTTGCTTCTTTACAGAGCGCTGAGGCACATATAGGATTTTTCCATCATTAAAGATGTTTTTAGTAAACAGTTAACCAAATTTTCAATATTTATTTCATCTTTGAATTTTTCCTCTTATATTCTCATGTTGACTAGACATGTGAAAATAAGAAAGCTTTATGAAAACTGGCTGAACGTCACCTACACTGTAAACTTTATATAACAAAACTCAACTTTTGGTGCAAATAAGAATCCTATGTAAAAATATATATAGATATATTTTTATTTTTTAAAGTTTTACTGGCGATTCTGCTGCAATTTAAATGTTGAGCAGGGAGGTGCCTGGGTGGCTCAGTCAGTTAAGCATCCAACTTTGGCTCAGGTCATGATCCCACAGCTCATGAGTTCAAGCCCCCCTTCGGGTCTGTGGTGACAGCTCAAAGCCTGGAGCCTGCTTCAAATTCTATGTCTCTCTCTCTCTCTGCCCTTCCCCTGTTTGTCCTCTGTGTATCTCTCTATCTCAAAAATAAACATTAAAAAAAATAAATATTGAGAAGAATTCTATGACATAGCTTGTTTTTTTTCCCTTTTTGATGGAGGTTGAGGTTAACTTTGACAGTGCATTTTTTTAATGTTTATTTTTGAGAGAGGGAGAGACAGAGCACAAGTGGGGGAGGGGCAGAGAGAGAAGGAGACAAAATCTGAAGCAGGTTCCAGGCTCTGAGCTGTCAGCACAGAGCCCAACAAGGGGCTCAAACTCCTGAAAAGCAAGATCATGACCGGATCCGAAGATGGCCGCCTAACCGACTGAGCCACCCAGGCGCCCCAACAATGCATGTGAATGACATTTCACTATTTATAATGAAGCTATGAATGCAGTTAGTAAAATAAAATAGGAAATTTATAAAACCCCTCTGATTACAATGCTGCTAACTTTCTATCATGGGCATATAATCACTATATCTAACTTTCTATCATGGGAATATAATCACATACATCTAATGAGTAATGAATGTGTAATTAATGATTACATAATTACACAGTAATTAATGATAATGAATGTGATAAATGCATAATTTGTAAGAAATATTAAACTAGATTATTTATTAGATGTTTCCTTATATATTTAAAAGTAACCCACATAAAGATTCAGCCAAATGGAGCTACCTAAATGTAGGGTAGCTTTATCCTTCTTATCTTGGTATTCAAGGTTCTGTTAATATTTGACGGGAAAAAGTAAAGGCATTTGCAGGATCCAATTTCATGTCTATGTAAGAGTCTTACATAGTAAGTAATGGATTTTACTATTACTTCAAATAAATAAAAGTTTGTCAGATTTCAAAAATGCTTTAGAATTCATTGTTCCTTTTCACCTTATTACCAGACTTAAAATTATGAACTATAGTTTTCTGTGAAAGTGAGGAGGTATTACCTATATATACAAAGTTCATTTGCAAATAAGATTCTACAAACAGGATTTAGGATAGTGTTAAAAGTGACATTTTTAAAGAAAAGAGATAATCACTTCTTATGGAAGCAGTTGTTTCCGAATTAAATTTTAAGTAAAAGTAAACTGGCAGTTTTTCTGTGTATTTTCAGTTATTTTTACCAGTATATATGCTAAATACCATGTAGAGAGATTGAGGTTGAGGAAAGGGAAGGATGTGATTTTTGGAGAATGTGGCCTTAAAATCCTCCTTCTCTTCAAAGCATTTTATCATAAAAGATTCAAGTTTCGGTGAACTGTCATTTAAACTTCATTTAAAATTAAGGGATAAATATATCCTATTTACCTCATCTTTAATGATTTTCATGAAAGGAAATATGACTCTCACATTAGTTGCTGTTCTTAAAAGCTGGTAGCATTGATCTACAAAAACTTGTTTTGAAGGATTAGACTTAAGCTGAAGTTTACTCCATATGAAAATCAACTCCCTGTAAATGAGAAAGAGAGAGAAATATCAAAAATAGAGTTTATTCCAATATAGACATTAGCTATGTTTTGCTGATTCTATAGTACCCTGGCTGGGATGGATACAAAATGGGGGTAAGTGGATTATTATATTAACTTCCAGCTACTTCTGCTACCTGTATGGGACAAAAAGAGAGATCAGAAATTGTAATCATACAGTAGTAAGGAATGAGTTCTAATCATATGCTAGCAAACCCAAGGTACCTGTAGTACATGATAACAAATTCTAATCCCGGTGTACTAGTATCAGTGATATTACTTTAAAAAAATAAACTCTGGCCTTTAATTAATACCCTACTTGTAAATTTAGAAATTAATTCTGTATACTTTCTGCCAAGAAATGTCCATATTTTTTATTTTCAATCTATTAAGATACCCAAAGTACTCTAGGTTTAACGTGTAAGATTCTGAAATTTTTTGAAGATCATCTGCTCTTCTGTTAAGATGTAGTATTTTTACAGAAAAGCTACAGACCATTTAAAGTATTTCACAGGTAGACTGGTTTCTAAAATATGGCCAGTTATTAGATGGACAAGGTAGGAGCAGTGGGTTTTGAGGCAAAGGAAATCATAACATATAATTGATATATTCAGATATCCTATTCTAGTAAATTAGAATTCCTTAAAATGTGTCAGATTACATAAGCATCACAATCTAAAAAGTGTTAAAATAATTGATCAAAATGGTTTCGTTTTGTTTGTTTTTTTAAAGTGATTTACTGAGCATGTACTTTGAGCCCAACACATACAGCTATTAAGTCTAAGGACAGCTTGACTACTATCGTGAAGGGGTACACAGTTTACTTAAAGAGACAATACAGAAAGCACAAAATGGAAAATAATGCCAAGCAACACGGAAGAAGAAAAACCAAAATTCTAATTCCATCTTCTTCTAGCTGTATGGGTGTTCATAAGTTTCAGTCTACAACCCCACTTTTCTTGCATATAAAAGCTCACCAGCTTTCACACTTGGCTCCCAAATCTATAGCTCTGACTTCTTTCCCAATTTCCATGCCTGGGTATTTCAATTTAGATTGCTTTCTAACGCTATAACCCTCTTAGAATGAATTAAAACTCCTGCAAAATTGGTTCTCTTTTGCAATGTCAATCAATGACACTAAACACTCCTAGAACCTGTTTGGTTCTAATCTGTTTATTTTCCACAGCCTTTCTATTGCAATTATATTTTTGCTCATAGCCATACCATTCTTTCTCAGTGCTACTACCTTAGGCCTTCTAATTTTACATATATATTTCTACAGTTGCTAAACTGATCTGTTTCCAGACTTTCAAATAATTTCATTCAGTGCTTATTCCATATTTTATGTAGTATTAACAGCAATAGAAACATGGGTTTTGGAGTCAGAAGGATAGGATTTTAATCCTGGGCACTCTTCAGGGTTAGTTAGTTAATGTGCTTTGTTTATTCTCATTTTGTGTATGCTAATTGCTGTACTCAGAAAGTACCTTATTTCTAAGATAAGCTTATCTTTCAAAATCCCTATCAAATACCCTTCATGAACACCTTCATGAATACCCCAAACTAAAGTGATAACTACTTCAGAATAGATCTTATTCCTCTTGTTGGTTTCATGCCTTTCATAGATTTCCTTGTTGATATTTTATAGGTCCTGTTCCCCCAACTGTTACTACATTGTTAATCTCAGTGACACATTCTATAGTGGAGATAGAGGCAAAAACATGAGACGGGGAATAAGAGATTTCTCATTAGGGCATTATACACTAATTGGTGTGATATTACCCAGTTCACAGTAAGCCATCTTTTTCTAGAAATAGCCCTACTATACAAGGTTGGAACACCAGTGACCATTTTAACCATGTAACCATCCTTACCCTCCTTACAATATTAATTGTAGGAAACTGACTTTAGTGAGGCCCGTCAGAGTCCCTGGAATGTTCTCAACTCTAAACTATGAAGGCTGGAGCCTGTTGACATTACTTCTAGTCTGCAACAGGAGAGAATGAAGTCAACTGGCAGAGAAATCAGTGTTCCTGGAAGCAGTTATCTTTGGGGACCTACTCTGTCCTTCCCCCTTTTTTTGTCATGACCCAGTACTTTTTCCATGTGCACTAACTTTTCCCTAAACTAGTCAGACATAGGATGTTATCACTTGCAAATTGACTAGTATATATTCCAACTCCGTTTTCTTACTAGCTAGGTGGCTTTTATGTCTTTTAGCCACAGTTTTCTTATACAAAAAAAGAATTGAGAGAGTTAAGTGAAAACACCTAGGTGAAATTCTGGTATTGATGTTTTTAATAAATCACTAATTTCCTATATTCTTTCCTTATCTTTATAATCTTAATAGTACCAACCAGTGACATTTATTCAACAAATATTTGCTTGTTAATAAACTGGCTAAAAAAATGTATTCCTAAATGCTAAGAGCATTTAGAGGGAGCATCTTGAGGAAATATATTAAGGGAAACTGTAGACAAAGAATGATGTATAAGATGATGGTGGACATTCTAAATAAGGAGTATTTTATAAACAAAGGGATGAGATAGAAGGCAAGTAGATTAACTGTGTTTAAGAAGACCTGGCAGATCTCTGCAACAGATTTAAAAACAAAAAATAAAAAATGATAACTGGAAGTTAGGGGAGAGTATTCATAGCACTCATTATGACACACACCAATGTTTAATATATTAGAAATGTATATATTCTCCAAATTGCTCCAAAAAATAGAGACTCCTAATAGACATCCTTAGGGTACACCATTATTATTATTTTTCTTTTTTGAAGACAGAGATCTTATTCCCCTTTGTTTCTGTTATTTCAGGATAAAACTTGGTGAACAAAATGTAATCCCAAGATTCTCAATAAATTTGCCAGGAAAGGGCTACCAATATGGATTTTAGCTTTCTAGTAGGCAAATCTCTAGAATCTGGAAATCTCAGGATATATTTACGAAGCTCCATTTTGACTGAATTTATAAAAGGGGTATCAGGTTTTACTTGTACTTTAGATTTTGAAGGAAAACAAAAACTCTGAAAACCCACAATAGTCTTCTTTTCTCATGAGCAAATAGTGTTGATGGAGCTTACATTTTCTTTTCAAACAGAGGTCCTTTAGAAAACACAGCTCCTATATGGTATACAAACACATTTTCCAGGTAAGTAACTACTAATAAAATCATCAAGTAACAAGCTGCAGAGAATGAAGTCTAGAACAGGGTCTATAGACACCTTTACAAGATACATGTTTTGTTTGTTTGACCTATTTATAGTAAGTAATATTTAATAGCAGAGACTGAGTCAGGCTGCCTGGGTTTGAATCTTAGCTTCATTATTTACTTTATTACTTATTATTTACATGGCTTAGCCATATTATAGTCTACCCCGTAAGTTTACTGGAATAAATGAGAGAATGTATATATGAAGTATAGACTATAGGAAGCACTCAGAAGGTATTAGTAGCTGCTGTTATTATTACTATTAGTAGTAGTAGTTGTTGTTATTAGCAATGGTGAGAGAAATGGGGCTGGCTGCTTGCTCTACTGGCTTCAGATAGAGCAAAACTGGACTGTGGATCAGGTTCTGTCCAGAGAAGGGAGATGAAGTAAGCTGGTTCATAGGGAAAGCCAAGATGAAACCGACAACACAGACCTTGTAGGCTGGAAAAAAATCCTGCTCTTCAAGTTACGGTGAAAATCAACTTTTAGAAGAGAAAAGGATGCCAGCATTCAGAAATGAGGAGAGGCAATCAGTACTCCGCCTACTCAGAAGGACAGACAAAGGAACGGGCTGAAGATTCCTTTCCAGTTAGGCAGCTGGGAGTCACACAACCAGCTTCTATTCTTAGAGGGTGCCAGTAGGTGGGGGCAGGAAAGATAGGCACTCTTCTATTTTTAAGATTCCCTCCCTAAAGAGTAAAATGATTAGCCAAAAGAAGAAAATATTTTATTGTTTCGTTTGTTTGTTTCTTTATACTTGGGATTTCAGTTTACTTATGAGTATATTAAAAGGAACAGGCTAAAGATATTCTGTTGGCTTAATATATTCAAAGTCAGAACATTCCTTTCCCCATAGGAAAAGATTTACTTTAACAGTCATGACTATGTTTCAGAATAACTACATATCAAGAAATGGTAACTCTTTAAAAATATTTAAAACTGTATGTCTTACCACTGCCTCCTGATCTCCTCCTCTTTTTGAAATTCCAATTTACAAGGTAAACTTTTTAATACAAATTTCCATAATCTAAATAAAAACACACTTCCCTGGAAGATAAGTCAACTAGTTTCTAGACCCAGCTCTGCTACTAATTAGCTGTTTGACTCTATCTCAGAGTCTGAAGATTTTAACCTATAAAATAATATTAAATGAGTTTATCGTTAAATTCACCTTCTAGATATTGTCTTAAATGTTTAAGAATTTAGCTCCGAGATGGCAATGTAGGCAGACCCTGAACTCACCTCCTCCAGAGACCCAACAAATCTGCACGTATACAGAGCAATTCCTCCTGAAGAACCGAGGACTGACTAAACAACTTCTGCACAACAAAAGAAAGAGTGACCACACAGAAAATGGCAAGAAAGACAGAGACATGACACGGTAATGCAGGGAATCCCCACTCCCACCCCTGTAAACTGCAGTGGGGACGGATAATAATAAGGGACAATGAGCAGAGTCATATGCCCTGAGGTACAGAAAAAAAGCTGCAAAGGCAACTAGAATATAAAGGATCTAGCCCTACAACTCTGCCAAATGGCAGGAAGACTGCTGAAACTTTCTCTAGGTCAGTGGGGCTGTCAAACACCACAGCTGACATCCCCATCCACCTTTACAGCATGGACAGGAGCATGGTCCAGACACCCTACCACCTCAGTGAGCCCTGGTCCTCTACCCATAGCAGCCCCAACGGTCTCACCAAGGAGGCCCAGTACAGTGCATACCAGGTCACCCTTAGTCAGTGTGCACTGTAGCTCCAGCCTACTTGACAAGGTAACACAGGCACAAAGCACCCTGGAACACTCCAGACTCACACCACTTCAGCTCCAGACAACTTGCCAGGACACTGTGGTCCACACCCACTTCTGCTCCAGCTGCCGCAAGAGGGCACCCCCTACAGAATGCCCCAGGATACTTCAGCCTGTACCCACTTCAGCTTCTGCTGTCACCCACAACACAAGAGAGCCTTGCGACACCCCCCAGCCCCCCACATACCCACTGTCCTGCCAGTGTGCCCTCTGTGCAGAGAACCCCAGGACCAGCCCAGCCTATACCCACCTCAGCTCTGGCCTTCCCACCAGCATGGCGCAGCACAGAGAACCCCAGGACATCTAGCCTATGCCAGCCACAGCTCTAGCCAGCTAGCCAAAGTCACCAGGCACACATAATCTACACAGGGAAGGACTATACAAAGGATCATTCCTTCAAGTTTAGGAGAAGTAGCTTTTCCACCTAATTCATAGAAATAAACACAGAAAGTCAAGCAAATGAGGAGACAGAGGAATATGCTCCAAATGAAAAGTACAATACAAAACCTCAGAAAAAGAACTAAATAAAACAGGGATAAGTGATTTACCTGACAAAGAGTTCAAAGTAATGATCATACAGAAGCTCACCAGACTAAAGAAAAGAGTGGATGAACTCAGAGCTTCAACAAAGAAAGAAAAAATATAAAAAAGTACAAATCAGAGTTGAAGAGTGCAAAAACTGAAGTGAGCAATACACTAGAGGGAAGACGGTGAATGCAGAAAAAATGAGTGGTCTGAAAGACAAGGTAATGGAAAGCAACCAAGCTGAACATTAAAAAATGAGGATGGATTAAGGAATATCTTGGATAACACTAAGCAAACAAACATTTACATTACAGAGGTCCCAAAAGAAAAGAAGAGAGAGAGAAAAGGGCAGAAAACTTAGGTGAAGAGATAATACCTAAAAACTTCCCTAACCTGGGGAAGGAAACAGACATCCAGGTTCAGGAGCACAGAAAATTCAGAACAAGATGAACCTGAGGAGATCCACACCACCACACAAAATAATTAAAATCAATAAATATTAAAAATTAAAATTAAAAATATTAAAAATTAAAATAAAATAAATAAAAATAAAAGAGAAAAGATTTTAAAAAGTATAGGTCCTTACCCAAACAAGAAATTAAAAGCTCTGAGAATAGGCATGAAAGCTTGCATTAAATAACAAGCCTGCTGTGTGAACCTCATGCTTACTAGAGTTTTTAAAGAGCTACTTGATATTAGAATGAGAGATTTTATATTTCTTAAGACTGCTTAATACATGTATGAATTTATAATTATGTGTGTATATGGTGGGGTTAGGAGGTGATGGATGAGGCAGAAGAGTGCCAAAGTCTGACAGACCTGATAATCTGGGGACTGGTTATGAAAATGACAGTTTTCTTAAGAGTGGAGAGTGTGGCAATCAGAAAATAGAAAGTATATGAATAAACACTAATGATCGAAATGTCTTATGTTTATGGTGTCTGACAGCTGTGGTTCAAGATGTACATTCCTCTATGAAATCCTGTTAATGGCGATAGTTTTCAAAAACTATTATGAGAAATAAACTAGATAGACTGAAACTTATAATGTAAAACATGCATTTAAACTTGACCAATTCCAGGGAGCGTGTGGGTGACTCAGTTAAGCGTCCGACTCTTGTTTTCGGCTCAGGTCATGATCCTACTGTCCTTGAGACAGCCCAATGTCAGGCTCCACACAGATAGCACAGAGACTGCTTGGGGTTCTCTCCACCCCTGCCCTGGCCCCTCCCCTGCGTGCCCGCCCGCTTTCTCTCTCAAAAGAAACAAACGTAAAAAAGATTTTTTTCATTGATTCCTAAGAGATAAATATTGGTGATTTTAGGAGTCTGGTAACCTTTTAAAGCCCAAATATCTCATGACTCACTATTTTGGATAATTTTCTCACTACCAAACACTCTTAAACCAATATATTACTTTAATTTAACAAGCTGTAACCACCAGGGTGAACAGTTTAAATAAACTAACAGTTTATCTTATTTCTTAAATTTCTTATCTACAGTGACATTAGTCCTGGAATGTCTTTCTTCAGAAAAATAAACTTTAAATATAGACAATATATAGTGAAGCCTTTCTACTCTATTAAAATTTGCCACTAATGTTAAACTGATCTATTAAAGAGAATATTTGTGAAAAATAAATATGTATTTCAGAATTTAAAATTCAAAAATACTGATTAAAAAATGTCTATAGCCCGTATCATTTCAGATTATTATGTTTAGCAAATGAAACCTAGTTCTCCTTTAAGAATTAATGAAATGTCAGGGTGCCAGGGGGCTCAATTGGTTAAGTGTCCAATTCTTGGTTTTAGCTCTGGTCATAATCTCATGGCTCATGGGATTAAGCCCCACATCTGGCTCTGCACTGATAGGGTGGAGCCTGCTTGGGATTCTCTCTCTCCCTCTTTCTCTGCCATTCCCTCCCTCACATGTGTGCACATGCTCTAAGTAATATAAATAAACTTAAAAAAAAAAAATTAGTGAAATGTCAGAGTGATAGGGTGTGTGTGTGTGTGTGTGTGTGTGTGTGTGTGTGTACTGGGAAAGGGAATCTTTTATAATTATTCATGATTTCACCTAATAGGACTTGAAGACGTGTACTAAAAACATTCTAATACCACCTTCTAAATTACCTGATTGCTAGGTAAATTAGATGTTTCATATATCCTACTAATCATTTTTAAGTAGTTTTAAAAATGTTTTCACAAACTAATATACAATACCATTTATATTAGCTTTATATATCTTTCATCCCAATAATGAAGTATTTAGGCATAAATCTAACCAAATACATAGAAGATCTACATGAGGAAAACTATAAAACTAATGATTCAAAGAATTAAGTAAATGGGAGAGATAGTCAATATTCATGAGTAGGAAACTCAATATTATATTGTCATTATGTCAATTCTTCTTGTCTTGATGTACAAATTGAATGCAATCCCAATCAAAACCTCAGCAGGTTATTTTATGGGTACAAACTGATTTGAAAGTTTATATGCAGAGGAAAAGACCCAGAATAGCCAATACAATATTGAAGAACAAAGGTGGAAGACTAATACTAATAAGCATGTTGTATTTGGTGAAAGAATAGACAAATACATCAAGAGAACAGAACAGAAGAGAGGCCAGAAATAGGTACCCACATAAATATAGTCAACTTTTCTTTGACAAAGGAGCAAACGCAATACAGTGGAGTAGATATAGTCTCATCAACAAATGGTGCTGGAATAATTGGACATCTACATGCCAAAAAAATCTAGACACATACTATACCTTTCACAAGATTAATTCAAAGTGGATTGCAGACCTAAACATAAAATGCAAAACTATAAAACTAGTAGAAAACAAAAGAGAACACCTAGATACCTCTGGGTATGGTGATGTCTTTTTACAACACTGTAGTCATGATCCATGAAAAGAAATATCTGATAAGCTAGGCTCTGTTAAAATTAAAAACTCTGCTCTGTGAAAGAAAATATCAAGAAAATTCAAAGATAAGCCATAGACTGCAAGCAAATATTTGTAAAAGACACATCTGATAAAGGACTATTAACCCAAAATATACAAAGACCTTTTAAAATTCAACAAAAATAAAATAATCTGATTTAAAAATGGGCCAAAAATCTTAACAGACACCTCACCAAAGAAGATACACAGTTAAAACACAAGCATATGAAAAGATACTCCCCATCACACGTCATCAGGGAAATACAAATTAAAACAAGTGACCACCATATTCCTATTAGAATGGCCCAATTTTGTTAACACTGACAATAGCAAATGCTGGTAAGAATGAGCACCAGGAACTCTGGTACACTGCTGATGGGAATATAAAATGGTACACCCACTGTGAAAGACAGTTTGGCAGTTTCTTCCAAAACTGAACACTCTTACCATGCATTTCAGCAGTCGTGCTCCATGGTATTTACCCAAAGGAGTTGAAAATTTATGTCCACACAAAAACCTGCACACGGATATTTACAGCAGCTTTATTCATAGTTGCAAAACTTGAAAGCAACCAAGATGTCCTTCAGTAGGTGAATGGATAAATAAACTGGCAATCCAGACAATGGAATATAATTCAGCACTAAAAAGAAATGTGCTATCAAACTATGAAAAGACATGGTGGAACCTTAAGTGTATATTACTAAGTGAAAAAGGCCAACCTGAAGAGGCTACACACTGTATAATTTCAACTATACAATATTGTGGGAAAGGCAAAACTATGACAATAGTAAAAACATCAGTGGTTTGCAGAGGTGAGGGTCAGGGGAGGAAGAGAAGAAATGAACAGGTGGAGCACAGAGGACTTTTAGGGCAGTGAAAATACTCTGTGTGATACTACATTTATCCAAACCTACAGATTATATATAACCAGTAGTGAACCCTAAGAGAAACTGGACTTTGGGTGGTTATGATGTGCCACTATAGGTTCATCCTTGGTTTAAAAAAAAAAAAAAAAGTACCCTTCTGGTGAATAATGCTTTTTTGTTTGTTTCTGAGTAATGTTGATAATATAGAAGGTTATGCATGTGTGGGGATCGGCTATAATGGGAAATGTCTGTACCTCCTCCCAATTTTACTGTAAACGTAAAACTGCCCTAAAAAATAAAATCTTAAAAAACTAATACTCCACATTTACTTTAAAATATAATTGTTTCATTATAATACATTCTTTAAACATTTATACTGTCAATTGCTGATACACGTGGTCATTGTCTTTTTTAATTTTTACATCTTACAACTTACTGTTGTTTCTTGCACAATAAATTTTTTAAAAGTGACTTAACATTTTCACAGGACATTTTTAAAAACATAAAGTCCAGACTCTGCCAACCAGTTCTCCTTCTATTCCCCATCTTATCATTTCAGTTCCCATATTAGGGACACTTACCAGATACAATACATATCCCCATTCTGGAGCTGCGGAATAAGAAAGGATTCACAGAGCTGCAAGGCTAACATAGTCTTGCCTTCTTTTTCAGTGTTACAGATGATATCAATTCCACTCTTACAATCAGTTTTCAACAAATGCTACAAGAGGAAAAGAAAAATCAGTACGTATCATTAAAAATACCTAAAAAGCTAGTTGGATTAAATATTTAGATTAAACATTCAGGGAAAAAATTAGATTTCTGGTTTTCTTCTACAAAGACAGTGATGAATTACACAGAAATATTTTCATGGTTTCACAGTTTCACTACTTAGCACCTGCAATTTGTAACTACTTTTAATCTCACTAATGTCCACACTTGTAAGTAAATAGGTTCTATATTAGGAAAAGATTGTTTCATCTTAAAAAAAAAAAAAAAAAAAACATGATCATTAATTTCTTAGTATTTTGCTTAAAAGGCAAAATATTTTATAAAAGTATTTACAAAACAAGTGCTGAATAATTAATTTAAATTTATATTTAAAATACTTCCAATTTTTATTTAATCTCTTCTGTCACACAATAAGCTCAACATGTATAATGCTTACTGATTAGTCAGTAATAATTATGAAAAATTATCATTTTCATAATAACAAAGCTTATTAATGCTTTGTTAATTTCATCAATTGTCAATCTCAGATTGTCTAATTCAACACTTAAAGAATAGTGCCAAAGAAAATACATCTAAATAATGTAATCTTAAAACCTTTGGTGATACTGTAAAAGGAATTTTACAAGAATGGGCTTTTTTTTTTTTTTTTTTTTTTTTTGGATACAGTTAAAATAGTAAAAGGCACATGATCTCAAACAGTACCTCCCGGAATAGTTGATCTTCTACAGGCGACATAAACAAACATGTGAAGAGTGCTTGATGGAAGTACAAGTCTTTGCTGATTTCTGGGTGATTTATACAAGATTTAATAAGAGCCATTGCTTCAGGTATGCGTTCACAAGCAATTAGGTATCTGGCACGTAGTTCAAAGAACAGTGGGTTTTCAGAACTTAAATATTTGTTCACTATATTAAAAAGAAAACAAACTCTTATTACTCTTAAGAAAAGATTCTCAAACTTTGTTGTTTGAAACTTTACCACTAACATGTGGCATCTAATTAGATTAACTGGCTATTTAATTAAATAGCATTTTCCTTAGTATGAGTTTATTTATGAAAAGATTATTCAGTTACATGATCAGAAAATTGGAAATAAGAGCAATACCAAAACTCAAGAAGTATCTGTTGATTTCTTTTCAGTCTAAAAATTTTTTTAATTTTAAAAAAAGTGAAATATTCTCTTTTCAGTTCACTAATATGTTAAAATATGTTTCAGATAATATGGGGCCTGGAATTTCTAGTCTATTCATGTACTTTATATTTTGTTGCCTAATATTTTCATTACTGTAAGATTAAAAGGCTGAATCCTATTTTGTCATTAAAACCACACTGATTTATAGAGAAAAGTAATCTGAATTAATGAAAATATATTTTACTACCTTTTAACAAAAAATTAAGCCAAAAGTAGTACCAAAAAGGATCACTCATTAATATATGCTCATGTATTACTAAGGATAATTATTTAAATAATTTAAAGTTGTTGCTTTAAACAACTTAAAAACATATAAACACCTTTATCTACATAAGTTTATTTAGACCTAACAACAACCTATGACAGGTATCCTAATACTTTTTTCACAGATCACAAAACTGAGACTCAGAGAGGTCAAATGACTTGCCCAAGGACAAAGAATAAGTGGCAGAGCAGGAACAGGGACCCACATTTCATGATTTCAAATCAAAAGTGTTTTCATTCATTAGTCATGTATGTTTAATCAGTAGCTTCTAAAATGCCTGTGAGTGATGTTTTATTTGGGCTTCAACATTTGCCCTGCAATTCTGTTTATAGTATATGATAAGCAGACAATGATTTATATAGTTAATACAAAGATAAACTTCAGAATGGTCTTTACCCTAATGGTCACCAACTAGAGGACAGTCATCCATATTAATGAGGCTCTAGAGCAGCTTTTCCCAAAGTGACGTATGCTAGTGGAAGTATGAAAGGAATATGTATGTAAGGACAGGAAAGAAAGAGAGTGAAAGAGGAGAGGAAGGGGAGAGAGAGAGAGAGAGAGAGAGAGAGAAGAGGGAGGGGAGAGAGAAAGATATCATTAGCCCTTATACCAACCAACAACAGATTTGTTCTAGCTCCTAGTCAGAGAAACCTAAAAGCTCCCTGAAAAGCCCAAACTTTCTTCTCTATTCCCACTTCTTTTGAAGCTCCACATTTAGCTCCTGTGCCCTCTGGCCATATTCCCCAGTCTCCTCATAGTTTTCTTTAGTCTGTCCCCCTTGCCTTCCCTATACTGACTCTATATACTTTTCCTGGATGATACAACTCTTCCTCCTTGGTTCCAACTGCCTCCCTCTTCAGTTTTTTACTCCTTTCTGAAACCCTCACATCAAGTTCCAGTCTCCTTTGTATCCATCCCCTGGGTATTTACCACTATATCATTATGATATATATTGAGCTCTTTCCTCGAATTTTATTCTACCTCCTATCTCAACCCATCACTTTGAACTACTTCTGACCTTCTCTCTTTCATCATCTTCTCTCACATCTCTGTCACAGTCCTCCACACTTGTATCTGGAGTTGACTTGTTCTCAAGCTGGAGAAGCATAGCCCCTTATCCACTCAACTCTACTCAAAACCTACCCCCAATTCTTAACCTGAGACAAATGGAAAGATCCTAACCTGCTCAGCACAACATGTGGTGTGAAGTATCCTCACCAGACCAAGGGTGGGGAGTCTTGTCTTTTCCTCTGGCCGTCTTATAATTGCACTCCATGGGCTCTCTCCATGCTTTCAAATGTTCTGCTTACACTACTGAGTTTACATTCTAAGTTTTGGTGATCCAAAATGTTCTGGGGCTCAGGAATAATATGGCAAACATTTTTTTAAAAGATTTAATTAGAAGTAATTGACAGAACCTCTTGCCTCAAAAGGAAATTTGGCCCACAGGAAACACTGTGGATCTAGGTTGGAAAGGAGGTGATATCAAAGCATGCAGGTCATTCAGGGATGAGATAAAACTCAACTTCTATTAATGGATGAAATTTGGGAAATACTGCTCCAGAGTATTTGGAATTGAAAGTTACTTGTTCATTCAACTAGTCACTCATTCACTTACACATTCCTCAGTTGGTCACTTCACTCAGTTAACAAATACTTATATTGAATACCTACTCTGTACCAGGTACTGAGCTGGGTATAGGATATACAGTAGTGGTGACAAAAACTGACAGAGTTCCAGCCCTCAGAGCTTCCTGTGTAAGGGAGATTCCATGTGCTTAAGCAGGGTATTTTTTTTTTTAAAGAGTGTCTGTTTCTACTTAAATATTTTTAAAATATAACAAGTGATGAAAACAAACTCTCTGTAAGTAACATCTGGACAGTAAATGTATTAACACTGAATTCCCATTAGAATAAATGGAAAATTACTAGAAATAAAGTTATCTAGTCTGGTGTCAAAAATCATTCTTGGGCCAGGTTAGTATAACAATTTAAACACACTTCATGTGAAAATACATTACTCTTATTCAGTATTAGAAGATAAAGAAAAATCACTATTACTGCTCTAGTTAGAAATGAAAATTGCGCTTGCTTCTCACAAATGTTGGTTTTGATTTTGAGTCTCCTGAAGTACCTATCTCCTGAGATGCTGGCTGGGCTTTAAGAACAGCTTGCAACACTGGATCTTCCCATGGGCCACCATCTCTAATGATTCGAGTCACCAGTTCCAGATTCACATTTCCATATCTGCGGAGGTGATTCTGGCATTCCTAGGAGAGAAAAATCATTTTGGCTTTGTGAATTTAAAGGGGTAAAAAACTAAACTTGATCATCTTTGTCAATAAAATGACTGATGGCCAATGAGTCAGCTATTAAATTATAAAGGAGAAAGGGTTGCTATAGTAACCTAAGTAGGGTGTCAAAACTCCATCAGTACACAAATAGGCTTTAATGCCAAAGGTTACAGAGTTTCTACATAATTGGACATAGAAAAATCCAATTATAATAGGGATTAAGTGTAACCCAAGGGAAAAACTTAAGGGATGCATCATTTCTAGGAAAAGAACCAGGTTATAAAACCTAAGGGAAAAACTTAAGGGATGCATCATTTCTAGGAAAAGAACCAGGTTGCAAAAATGTAAGACTTAAATGTTCAGTTTATGTGAGGGCTTGTAAAGCTTCTGTTAACAATGGCAAGCAAAAGCCTGACTATAAGAAAGAGGTAGAAGGGTCCCTGTCCAATGTAGACTGTGGTTGGCAGATAGACACAGGTCTTCTGCTCTGATCCCAGATGAATACGCCTAGTTGTGGTGGAAGGCTGGAAGATGGAAATTCTATTGCATTACTGTTCTGTCAGCAGATCTGTAGTCTTGGGATAAAGAAATGGCAGGCTGAAGGAATGGATCCAACCTATAATACGAAGACTTTACATTAGTTTTAACATAAAAATGTATTGATAGGTTGGGCATTAACTGATAATTTGTCTATGTATTTTCTAGGATTTTTTTAAAGATGTTTGAAATATTTTTAGAGAATCTGTTATCTTAGACTTGTGACTATAATATAACTTATGTAACAAGTTTGTAAACAAAGCTTAGTATTTAGGAGAACTTAGATGACTGAACTTATAAATTTATTAGATTTAGGTTTACAAGATTTAATTATTTGATTATGCTTCCTTGATTCGTTATATACCTTGGTGTTGTTTTTGAAATGTTTTAAGGAATTTAATTTGCTAATTTGAACAGACTAACTGAAGGCTTAGTGAGAGTATGAATAGATATATATTTTTAATGCATACATTGCACTTACAGTCTTAAGAAAAAAACTAGGTGTTGAAATTGGCAGTGTTAAAAATTTGAATAAACTGCACATCAATTAAAACACAAATAATTGCCAAAATTTCTTTCTGTGCTCAAAAAATCTCTCAGACATTAAAAACTTAGTAAGTTATAAAGCAAAGCTTCAATATAAAACAATACACTATTACAAATTTTACTTATGATATAAATCATCAGGCTACATATTCAAAGTGGCAGTAAACACTTTGCTTTTGTCATGTTCTTTCATCATTTCAATGTTCCAAAGTAGTATCTATATGCCACTTTTTATTCCTTGTTAAGACATACAAAGAGGTTTTATTTGTCTCATGAGAGAAGAAGGCAGTAGAAGAAATCAAGTTTCAAGATAAAGAATTATTTAGTCAAAGAAGTCAAAGGATAATTACGTCATAACATGAAAATAAATATTTTCTAGAAGTTATTTAGAGTATTCCTAAATTAAAATGAGCAAGCAAGCAAACAAAACTGTATAAATAATGGGCAAGTTACTTAACCTCTCTGTGCTCCTTCAGTTAACTCATCTACAGAATGGATACTAAAAACACCTACTTCATAGGATTGTTGTGAGGTTTAAATATACAGTATTGAAAGTGCTTAATGCAGTGCCTTGCACATAGTAAGCACTTAATAAATATTAGCTATATCTTCTAGTATTTTATAACATTTTGGATATATAAACATTTTATCTTAGCACACCCAAATGCCATAGTATAAAACTAATTAATTTCTACATTTCCATGTGGCAGCATGTTTATACAGCATTCATAAAATAAGATATAAAGTTTTTTGATCAGCCATAATTTGTTTTAAACACATGGAACATAGTAACATTCTGTGTTAACAGCTTTATGATTTAAAATCATCATCGATTTCAAACGTTAAGGTAAATAAACTGCTAAATTACTCTAGACACACATACTGCTACCCCTAAAATTCAACTACTGTAAGCTGGCTTTTGGTTCAATAAAAGTACAAGACATAAGGTGAGCTAGATGCTAGTCCCTAAATCACCGGTGAGCTTTAGCTCTGCTGCTGAGCTCTTGGACAACCCATCTTTCTAGCTGTCTCACAAAAGGTCAGGTACCAATCCTACAGCACTTGGCATTGTGAGACCTAGAATTGGACTTAGTGAAATAGGTCTAATGCTAATCTCCTAAAAATGGCTGAAAAATAAATATTTGGAGGGCTTGTTAAAAGACAGAGTCCCAAGCACCAATTCAAACATACTAAATCAAAACTTTACAGGAAAGCCCTGATAAACTATATTTAACAACCCCCACCCCACAGTCAACTCTGACATACTTTTTGATTATACTTTCTACATTTAGTGTGAACTTTCATAACTGTTTATCCTAGAAAATATATACTTATATTCCTATCAATTAGTCAATTAGCTTAAGTTCATTTTTCTAAGATAAAAATTGTATGGGACAGTTGTGTGTGTGTGTGTGTGTGTGTGTGTGTGTTCACTTATTGAGTCAAATGCACCGTATTTTAGAGACTACGTCTATGGGAAATGGCTCTGCATAAGAAATAGAGATGAAATGAAGATTTCATTTTGGTCTATTTAAAAAGACCTGGGATTTAAAAAAAAATAAATAAATAAAAGGCCATGGGATGAGAGAACAAGTAAGTTTGTAAGTATCTTTGCCTCCTCCTTCCCTAAATAGTATGGTGGCTTTTGTGCATGATATGCAATTTAAAAGTTTCCAAAGTGAGGGGGCGCCTGGGTGGCTTAGTCGGTTAAGCGTCCGACTTTCGCTTAGGTCATGATCTCGCGGTTCGTGGGTTCGAGCCCCGCGTCGGGCTCTGTGCTGACTGCCAGCTCAGAGCCTGGAGCCTGTTTCAGTCTGTGACTCCCTCTCTCTCTGACCCTCCCCTGCTCGCGCTGTCTCTGTCTCTCTCTCTCTCTCCTAGAAATAAATAAAACATTAAAAAAATTAAAAAAAAATAAAAAATAAAAGTTTCCAAAGTGAAAAAGGAAGCACTTAAGTAACTGTAGAATTCACAACTTATCTTTCCTATATATGCGTATATCTTTTTACAATGTTTACTTAATTAAAAATTTGGACCTGTACATTAACCTAATCCTTTAAGTCATCTGTCTACTATCACTGATACCCACCACACTGTGCTATCTATTCCCTCAGAAACTTTCATTCAACCTTGTGTTTTTGCCAAAGATAGAGAGAAAACAAAACCCCCTTCCTCACTCTTCTTTCAGATTCTATTGTGGTGTAGACTTAAATGTTTTGTTCCAGAAGAATTTCCTTCCCTGAACTTGTTGCCTCTTTAGAACTGGCCCTCTAACATATCTGCAAAGCTGTATATTCAGTATTATTGATCTGAACTCTTTCTTCAGCAGCTTATCATAGAATGAATTTTTTTTTCCATAGGATGAAATTCTTAACGCCTGAACTTCATATTTAAGGATCTCTAGACTTACCTACCTAACTCATTCACCTATTCAACATAATGAATCCTCTCCTCCAGCCTGGTCTCCTCCATGTCTCTCAAATTCATCATGCACTTTCTTGCTTATGCTTTTCTCATATCACTCACTCTCTTTTTCTTACAACTTCCTAAAAACCTATTTAAACTTTCCAGTAAACCAATCTAAATACTTTCCTATCTTTCCACAATCCTACTTTTCCCTGTACTAGCTACCTTAATCCATAATAAACTTAATTCCTTCTCCTGCAGTACTGAAAATCAGTACCAGTCCACTCTTCTGATATTTATCATGTGAGAGGAACCCTTGTGTTATTAAGGGTTGGCATCTTATTCTTAGGTAGTTAAAAGCATGTTCAAATGGAGTCAAGAAAGGAAAGGTATATCAAGGAAGATAAATTCTCAGTAATTTTTAATCAAAACAGTTTTATGGAAATCCATGTAATCAGAAGCATTATGCAATTTTTGTCTAATTTTGAATGCAGCTTCCAGAGTAAAACTGTAGAATACCACATCAAATACATTCATAGAGCAAGCTATTATAGCAAATCAAAACAAAAATATTTTTTTAAAAAAAGGTCTTCATGTGGTTAATGTTATAAAAACAGAGTCTTTAAAATACATTAAAATCTTTACAATACTTTGTAATAAGGAGAATGATCATAACTTTTATTATTATACTTCCATTGGTTATCTCATGGCACAGCATTTCAGAAAGTTGTAAAATTTAAAGTTGTTATGTGGTATTTTTCAAAAAGACAACATCACACATTTGCTGTTCTTTCCTGTGGTTAAGTTCCTAAGGAATATTTACCTAATGTTTTAAAAAAATAAACATTCTAAGTTTGCCCATAAAAAGAGGACAGGATAACAGTGAAAAAATTACTGCTTTTCAAAAGAAAGTTATGAGAAAAATCATTTAAAATGAATGTGGAAGTGTTTACATTCTTGCAGGTTTGCTGTTGCCAAAAATCAGTATGTCACCTATAATGTTTGCCCTTAAAAAACTTAAACTAGATTTTTTTAAAAAAACCTTTCAAATGGAGCATTTTAATGGCCTTTCAAAGTCATATGGTAAAAATGGTTAGTATCAAAACATTGATGTCAGTAACAAAAGAAATTTAGTAGTCAGATTTCAACAACTTTTTGTAATTTGGGTGGAAGGAATTTAAACTGAATATCAGAGTTTAGAAAATTTTTCATATGGATCTATCAATGATGTCTTTTACACCTATGACAGCTATTAAAACCAAGTATCAAAGTAAACAACTTAAAATCAGACTATAAATTATTATATGACCAAGAGTTAAAATTTTTCAAAAGTAAAGCATATTCAGTCATACTGCTACCATTAGTTTTTATACTGTTAAAAGATTATTTTAAGCTAAAACATGGAAAGAGCCTAAGTGTCCATCAGCAGATGATTGGATCAAGAAGATATGGTTTATCTATACCATGGAATACTACATGGCAATGAG